CACAGCCAGAAATTAATTTAGCTATTACAATATGACAGAATTTATTCAAACATAGTAGAAGTCTCTAAGATAATCAACCTGCCACAATAATATAATTTGTGTCTCTCTAGAATCATAAACCATTATAACAGCAATCATACCCCACACCTATAATCATTCTATCCCCATGATTAATGAGTGTTAATGAGGGACATTAATTATTGAACAATCTGTAATAATTAGCTTCAGTTTCTTGGAAAAGAATGTTAATTAAATGAACATTTTGTACAGAGTGATCAAAGCTCTGTGTCTCCAAATGAAATTCACATGAAAATATTCAAAAATAACTAATTCATCATGTTTTTTCCTCCAATCTTTTATTTGAATTAGACGGCACTGGGAAATGCTTTTCCACCTACACAATTACTGTTTCATGTTTTAAACAAAGAGTCTGTGTAAAAATAGCACCTACAAAGCTACAAAAAGGACTGTAATTAATCAAACAACTGATTATAATACCTTAATATTCAGATAACGAGTAATATTACCTGAAATCAGAGCTGGGGTTATAAATCATTAACACATTTAACACCTACAGTTAATTCCACATTTCAAGGGTAGAACAATATGAGCCGCGTCATGACAAAACCAACATTGTAGGTTTGCAACCAGCATGGATCCAGACCAGCCTGCACAACTAACTCTATCACAAGTAGAGAAACTGATAGCAAACTGCATGGATGCACAGGCTGGTCTGGATCCATGCTGGTCGCAAACGCAATATGTTGGTTTTGTCGTGACGCAGCTCATATATATTTCATTATGGAGAAAAAATCTAAGAAAATGAGCGCTTATATTAAACATTTTTACTGATGATGCAGCAGCATTTTTTTTCTCTCGATCTTTAAAGGTGAGACTGCCTTATGTGACAATGAAATTCTTTTAACCCTTAAAGGAACTCAACTGAGGTTCAAAGGCATAAAAACATAAAATTTTAATCTCTTTAATAGATCAGCTTTGCTTCTTAGAACAATAAGATATTCAAAAGAAAATTAAGAAATATACTAAGAAATACAGTAAATTGAAAATCATATTTTTGTGCCATGCTTAATTATTGTGTTAGTTACAAAAAAAACAACAAAAACTTCCAAAATGCTAGTATGAAATTAATTTGGTAAAACATGTATATTGCATTTAAAGCAAATAGCACATGCATTAAATCATTGATCCTACATAAAATAGGAGGCTAAGAAGCATATTTATAAATTTTATTCTGGAACATTTTACTCTTTTTTGCGTTTGAGATACAAAAAAAAGAGAAGAAAACTTCTAAAATGCTAGTATGAAATCCATGTGTGTTAACTAACAGAGACATTCTATGTTTAACTTACAACTCTCTCCCTTTCAACAATCAACAATCAACAATAAGATTATAGAAATAATTTAATTTTACTGTTGATAAATCTTATGAAAAAATATTTCATAACATATAGCTTTATACCATTTAACTAACTGACATTTTTGAAACCAATTAAAATTGTAAGGCCGTTAAATTGTTTTTTTACAAAATGAAAGGATTTAGTTGTTTAAAGGTATAAAAACTTACAAAGCCACTTTGAATTTTAATGTCAATAAAAATAAGAAAAATTCAAGGAAATGTAGGACACTTTTTGTGAATATGAAACCAAAATTTTGTTATATTAGTTTTTTCCAAAACATAATTGCTTCTTGATTGCATTTATTTGATATTAAAATCCAAGTCCCTTTATAATTATTTGACATTTTATTTAAACGTTGTATTCTTTGATGTTTTCTTCATTAGAATCAGACAATTCTTCATTGTTACAAAGAAAAAAGTATATTCTGAAGGAAAAAGTTACTATTATTGTAACATTACCTATTTTTGTCTGTGACAATAGTAAATGATAGACAGATTCTAAGAATTAGATAATACAAGGGAGAGTAATAGCACATACCTAAATAATAGAAAATCTTCAGTAGTCTCCCTTGTTTAACATAAGAAGGCTTTCTTTCAATTTATAATAGCATTCAATTTGATATCAAATTTTAAGAATATTCAGCACTGTATCACTCCATCCTGCTTTTATTCAAGACAAACTTATTTTACCCCCCATATTAAAGGGTATGAAAACTTTATTTGCAAATAAAAATCTTATTTCAATTTGATCAGTTGATACATACAGTTAACACCTAATTATTATCAACACACAATAATTATCCTTTTGATTCTTAGAAATTTATAAAATTCTGTGAAAATCTTAGGGTATAAATCTTCAAATGTTGTGATAACTAGTTTGCACTGATTTGATCTTGTCATTTATCAAAGTTCTGTGAAATTCTGTTGCTAAGGTACTCATGCTTTTAATGTCACAGGAACCCATTTATAACTTGAGTCCTCCAGCTTAATTTATATAATTGTCTATAAAGTTAAAACTTTCCTTTGATAACATAACGAGACTCCTCTGAGGCTTTTTGATATAAAGGGACTGAAAAATAATTTTTTCGAGCTTCATGACGTACCATTTCAATGTTGGTCTTGACAAATGAGCTTTGTCACGACAAAACCAACATAATGGGTTTGCGACCAGCATGGATCAAGACCAGCCTGTGCATCCAGGCAGTCTGATCAGGATCCATGCTGATCGCTTACCAACTCTATAACAAGTAGAGAAACTGATAGCGGGCAGCATGGATCCTGATCAGACTGGGCGGATGCGCAGGCTGGTCTGGATCCATGCTGGTCGCAAACCCACTATGTTGGTTTTGTCATGACGTGGCTAAAATATCTGTGAAATTTCAGAACATTCATTCACTGCAGTTTTCTAGAATAATCATTTCAATTTTGTAAAATGACCAAAAATGAAATGAATTTATAAATCATTATCTTAAACTTTTTTTAAAAAGAAATATTTTATGTATTTAAAATAAATTGTTTAAGGAATGAATAAATATTCATATTCCAAGGGATTGACATTTCACATAATATCCACAAGGTGACATACATATTTACATATTTTAACCAACCTTTTCCTACCATAAATTTACAAACAGAACGATTGAGTTAATTTTTTTTGGCCATAAATGAATAGTTGATGACTTTCTGATGCTATATTCAATTACATGAACTTGATATATGTACATTTCACAACATTATTACAAAATAGAATAATTTCTAATTTTCATGAACATTTTATACAAATCTGGATGCAAGCTCCTTTTATACAAACATTTATATACACAATGGCTTCAAATTCATTGAATTATTATCCAGTGACTAGTGTTACACCACTGATGAAAATTTCAATTGATTTGAGGAAAACTGATATAAATTATATTTGCTTTTCAAATCTTCAGGGAAATAATTTAAGCAAATGCTTTTGTTTGAAAGCTATAACCTTTATAAAACTCAATTTTGAAATGGCATGTTTGTGGGTATAACTTGATATTATCATAATTGTGTTGTTGTCTTTTAAAAGTCAGTTCAAAGGCTTCAAAGCAATTAAATGCCTTTAATTGGATATATTCTTCATTAAATTTAATGGATTTTCAAATATACACTTGCTGTTAATGCTAAAGATATTCATTTCATGTATTTTAAAGACTTCAACAGCTGAATCATATAACGTTTGTTGTTAAAAGTCTTAAAAATAACTGAATTTATCCATATACATCATAAATTATATCATATAAGAAAATGAACAGTATAGAAATCAAAGTACTGAAAGGTCTGGCAGAGCAATTGGCAAATGAGGGTAATGTTTCATAATTATGATAAGTACCAAGAATGATTTAATAGCAATGGCTTTTTTTATTTTTCAAATTATTTAGAGAAAAAATAACAATAAGTAGACAGTTAATATTTTGATTCACCTTAACCAATTACCCTGCTTTAACCAAATGAGCTGCGTCATTGCAAAACCAACATAGTGCGTTTGCGACCAGCATGGATCCAGACCAGCCTGCTCAACCTTGCAGACTGATCAGGATCCATGCTGTTCTCTTACGAACCCTTTTATAAGTAGAGAAACAGACAGCGAACAGCATGGATCCTGATCTGGCTGCAGGGATGCGCAGGCTGGTTTGGATCCATGCTGGTCGCAAACGCACTATGTTGGTTTTGTCATGATGCGGCTCAAATGTGGTTTTAGCCTTTGCTACCAGTATAGTCAAACCAGCCTACACTTCAAAAGTAGTGCAGAATTCTGGCCAGGCTCTATACTGTTGGCTGACAAACATTAAAGTATTCAAACTGATATTTCCTTAATAGATCCTATACATAATGTGGGATTTTCCCCATATAATCTTTCGGTACAAACAAATTTTTACCACTATAGCTTCACCGTGCACTACTTAGGCCACAACAGATTAGTCTATTAAAAACTTTTGCGGGTTAAAGGTAAATTTATACGTAACACAGTATTTTGAGTCTAAATGACATAAAACACGTAATTGTTACAAAAGACTGCAAAAGTCTGACATTCTTTAAGGACTGACCTTTTCTTTTTATTTCGCCGGAGGCAAGCATGACATAATAATCCTAAACTTGTTAATATGTTTAATATTGAATATGATGTGATAATTTCACCAATAAATGTCATATTGACTGAAGCATCATATTTGATTTATTATATGATTAATCTAATACAAAAAGTGAAGCTTTATATTGAAAAACAAGTTATCAAAGAAAAAAACTTATCATTGCGGTGTAACTTTTAACTATTATTGTGGAGTAAATAGATTTGAATAGAGAATATGCCATAAAGACCAAAATGCAACAATTTTCAAAATTTGTTCTGTTGACTACTATTTGAACCAATGAGACTCTGCAGCTTTTTTTAAGATCAAATAAAAAATGTTTATAAACATATTCAACTTTTTGTTAATTGTAAATGTATAATGAAATGTATTGTTAAACGTGTTTTTACTTAAAATTGACATTATAGTTAAAAATGTTTCTATAACAAAAAATAATTCTTGTTATTTTTTACTTTTCAGAATTTCCCCTCAAAATCCAACTTGACTGATGCTAAAAGAGGAACATATTAAATTTACATATTTATATAAGACTGACGACAATTGTAAGGAATGTGCTAATTGTGGGAATAGTCAGTAATGTGACCTTCCCAATAGAGTACCGGTATATATACCTAAAAAGCCAACAGGAAAAAACAGATGCATCTTGAACGGCGTTCAGCATCAAACATGGAGAAAACAAGTGATCCTACTAATAGCGATAGCAGTGTCACTAAGTTCAGTATGGATATAAGTAACATGACGCTGGAGGAGTTTAGGAAACAGCTTGAGCTTTTAGACAACTACACGGAGCATCAGAGACCTGAAGATTTGGACATTCTGAAAAATCAGCATTGGCGCATAGCAATCATAGTGATCTACAGCATTGTGATTCTATTTGGATTTCTCGAAAATGTCGTAATCGTATGCGTCCTCATCAAGAACAAGCATCTGCGTGTGCCGACCAACATCTTCATCCTGGGTCTCGCAATGTCAGATATTCTCTTGTGTTCCTTCAACTTGCCGTTTCAGCTTCATTACCAACTCACCGACCAGTGGGCGTTTGGCGACACTTTGTGTAAAGTTATCATGCCAACATACGGCATCCCAATATTTGTGTCTTCGATGTCAATTCTCATGATTGCAATTGATCGATACATGCTCATCGTACATCCATTTCACCAACGAATGTCATCGGAAAAGGCTGTTTGCTTGGTTATCGGTATTGCCATTTTCACTACACTATTAGCTATTCCAATCATCATGCAAATGGAATACCAGGTCCTTGACATTCCTGCTCTTAGAATATATAAGACATATTGCATCGAAAGATGGACAAGTGCTTCTCTACGACACACATACACTGTTTCAACAATCGTTATTCAATTTTTTGTGCCTCTCGTAACAACCAGCTTTCTGTACATTAGAATCAGCCAGGTGTTAGCTCGGCGCCCGATAAAGAAAAATGAAAAGAATAAAAAACATAAAACAAACAATATTTTAATAGCAATAGTGCTTGCGTTTTCAATCTGTTGGCTGCCTTGGAATATATTTGCACTCACTTTGGAGTTTGACTTTTCGCTCATTCCTGGAAGGTATGTCAAACTTTTAGACTGTCTCCTGAAAATATTTGCCATGAGTTCAGCATGTATCAATCCTTTTCTATATGGGTGGCTCAATGACAATTTCAGAAAAGAGCTGAATGTGATGGTGAATAGACAAGGCAGAAATAGAGTGAGACAAAACGGACACGCATACACACAAGCGGATCCATCGCGTACAGAGCCTATGCTGGACAAGGTAGACAAATATGCCACTGCGATTCTGTAGACATTTATTCCGTGCACATGTTATTTGTTGAAAAAAAAATTGTTATTTTATGTGGGGTAAATCTTTTTATCAAAAGGAGTATTTGTATTATATCACTATATTAAACATTATAAATATAACACTCTTATTTGTTTTCTAAATCCTTTTCTTACCAGTAAAATATTCTTTTTTTTGCCTTTACCTTACTGCTTTTGTATACTGAGTTTACAATTTTTAATTTTTTTGAGCAGTCCAATAGTGCGTTACTTGAGTCGTCCAATAGAGCGTTACTTGAGTAGTCCAATAGTGTGTTACTTGAGTTGTCCAATAGAGCATTACTTGAGTAGTCCAATAGTGCGTTACTTGAGTTGTCTAATACAGCGTTACTTGAGCCGTCCAATAGAGAGTTACTTGAGTTGTCCAATAGTGCGTTACTTGAGTCGTCCAATAGAGCGTTACTTGAGAAGTCCAATAAAATGATACTTGAGCAGTCAAATAGAGCGTTACTTGAGTCGTCCAATAGTGCGTTACTTTATTCGTCCAATAGAGCATTACTTGATTCGTCCAATAGAGCGTTACTTGAGTCGTTCAGTAATGCATTACTTGATTCGTCCAATAGAGCATTACTTGAGTCGTCCAATAGTGCCTTACTTGAGTCATCCAAAAGAGCGTTACTTGAGTCGTCCAATAGAGCGTTACTTGAGTCTTTCAGTAATGCATTACTTGAGTCATCCAATAGAGCATTACTTGAGCAGTCTAATAGGTTGTTACTTGAGCAGTCCAATAGTGTGCTACAATATGTACTACAACTGAGCACTATCTTAAATGGATTTATCAATCTTTCAATCTGGACAAACTTATTCATTAATTTTCCAAATACTGAATAGCAATCAGTGCAGACCATGGTCAAATGGCATGAATATGCTTGATGATTTTAGTCTGCACTGTTTGCTTGGACAGAATCAGTTTCCGCCAGTAGGCTATTAGGGTTGAAGGGAGTCTTGTCTAACATTCTTCCGGTAGCATAGGTTTTGTTAACTACCTAGAAGTGCTTACATTTGTTATAGATAATATAAGAAAAGTAAAGAAATTATATGACATAGCACACAGATTGAATATAATCAAATAATTTTAACTGCTAGTACAGGAAAAAAGACCTTTCAGTTTTAATTCACCCTTTTTCTATGGATAATCGACTAACTGATTTGAAAGATTAACACCTAAAGCAAATCAATGTTTCTTGGATAACAGCAGTAATATTCGCATTTATAAATGCCATTAATGATTTTCATCCTAAACTTTGCAAAACTACCAGATTGCTGATACATATCATGACAATTACTTACAACATAATGCTTCCTGCATATAACAGAAGCTGGTCTGATATTGGTAAACATTACTTAATGTAGCAATTCTATTGCTAAAAAAAATTAGTAAACCTTTAAAAATACACATCATTTACCCATGTAAACTTACTAAATTGGTTCAACCTTTTTGAACCTTAGCACAAAAATGAGTGCTTCACTATATAACTTGAAAGAGCGGAGACAAATTATGTTATTAGCCACAAAATCTTTTGCATTTAGTGGTCCAAATCCTAGTCATCATCAATAAAAGGTTAAATCAGGTAATAATGAAGGGTGTAAGTGAGTTAGATTATCTGATCATTAGGCAACATTAGCTTGTAATCTCCCCGCTGTACACCCAATTGTTCCCTCCAAAGACACCAGTAATAACCTTTGCATATATAAATGACAACTGTCTGAAGCAGGAGTGTTATACATCTCTGAATTTTATCTCCGTCTTTTCCCAGTGCAAAACTCTAAAACAGCCAAATTAACAAACCAGTTAACAACAGCTGGTAAAAGTTTGTTACTTTTTCTTCTATGTCATTTAGTACAGTAGCAAATATTCCCACTTTTATGCAATTTTTAGTTTAAGTGATAATGGTTCGTGTTCAATATGAATGACTTGACATTTCGTCAGTTTTGATAAATATAACCTGAGAAATCAGGTACTTATGCACTCAAGATGGGTTCTTATTCAGTACAAGTGCACTTTAAAGTCAAGCCTGAAAAAAATAACATTTTTTCCACGGGTGACCATGATTCATTACCCTAAGCATTTTCACAATGCTAGTTTGATACACCCTATCTTTTAACAAGAACTGTTGGTAGGACAACACACAAGACTATTCTTAGTGCTTGACAGTAAAAGAGCCTTGATGATGTAAAATTTTCTTAGTTCACACAAGGACCAAATGTTTCTTTAAATCCATGTAACAGTTATAGGCCTTGGTGGGTTTCCTTATTATTATGCTCTCAAAAGAAGTGAATAAAATTTCAAATTGTTTCAAAGCCAGATGTTAAATGGAATATGAAAATATCTGAGGTTCTATGCAAACTTTAATGTAAATTCTAAGTCGAAAAAGCGGCATTCTTCTGTCAAAAAATTCTTCATAGAGTTACCTCCCCCTGTCTACAGGTTGGGGTCATGATGGTGAACAAGTGTGCAAAGTTTCAAAGCCATACTTCAATTGACTTTGAAAAAAATTGAGGTGTTACAAAACTTTAACATAAGTGGTTACATAAAGTATTTTGAAATACTGTATGAAGTTCCACTTGAAGGTTATTTGTTTATATAAACTGAAAACTGACCTTCGAAATATGAGATTCTGTGCTGATTGTGAGATGATGGATGAGAACTAAAAATAGTGTACACTACTTACTGCTGACCAATTGATGCATCAAATTTAAAATTGTAAAATTGTCATAAGTAATATAACTAGTAACAATTATCAATTTGATAGATAACAATAAATCATGTTGAGCTTAATAATCTACATAATTTCATAAAAATTAATAAAGAATAATTCAGTAAATGAAAAGAATTTTTGTTAAATAGAGTTTACCAAAAAAGCACTGAAACTTTCTAGATATAGAAATATAATATTTTCTTCTGAATATAAAATTCAATTTTGTCTGGACAGCAATGTAAACTGTCTTATTAGTGTATTGCAATATTTATTTCTAAAAACTCTAACTACGAAAAGCCAGGCTGGAAATGAAGAACTTTTAAGACTGTATATATCTAAACTGGTTCTTGAAAGTTTTCTAACTTTGAAATATCTGGGTTGATTTTTCTTATATCCCAGGTGAAATGTGTACCATGGTCAACATAGTATTTCATGGTTTTTGATATCTGAATATGTTATTTCTTGGTCGTCAGACTGAAAAACCATCAAATGCCATGGTCACATCATGGTCTAGGTGCTGAGCATGCCAAAATTATGAAAAAAAAATAAAGATAGACTATCCAATAAGACTTAAATAACCAAATATGAACTTTCTGTATCAGTTGTGTTTTAATCAATTAGATAAATCAACAACAAAGTTACTTGTCTGGAGTGAGTCACCCCTACCAGACTAAAAATGGGCAAATTCACAAAATCAATATTTACAGCAACAACCACACCCCCATCAAATGATACAAATCACTGTTTGAATTTACTAAGTACATGTATTACTTCCCTTCATATCATTTTCATGGGACAAAACCCAGAAAATGAACAGTGTCAAACAAAAGGTCATCCTTTCAACTTTAACATTATTTAAAATTTTCATTCATTCAAGATATGTTAATCAAAGAAATTCAAGTGTATTGAAAACATGTATAACCTTTTACCCCATGAGCATATTGCAAAAAATGGCCGTTTTCATTGAAAAGCCTCCTGTAACAAGTTCAAACTGCTATGAAACTGTTAAAAATGCTTCAATACTAATGAAACTTGGCACAAATGTTGACTACACCATAGCCTCTGTAACAGCATGCTCAATGGTAAATTTCCTGTTACCATGGCAACGGGGGGACATCTCAAAAGTGCCAAAAATCACTATTTTGCATTGTTTTTTTCCATCAAAACTGATTTCAAAGTGCTGCAACTTCTCAATGAAATGAGATAGAGTAAAAGGCTTTTCAGCGTCGGTTACTAGTTACCCTAAGATCGACCTGAGGCCATTTTTAGCCTGTCACATGTCCGAAATTTTCTTAGAGATGAGGGGGACTCCGCCCCCCTTCAAACCCCCCAAACAGAAGGGGGCACATCCCCCTTCTGGCAACCCCCTGATGTAATATTTGGATGGGGGACGGCGCCGAAAAAGTGGTCACTTTTTGAACAACATTTCTCAAACGAAAAATAGTGTTTGGGGCCTAAATAGGGCATTTTTTCACTGTTTGAGGCCTCAAAAAGGGGGGGCAAAAAGCCGTCGAAACACGCTTATATAAGGGAAAAGGTTAATATGATCAATCAAATTAACAAATTTATTATTCCACAAGACCAGGAATAAACATAACTACATCCAATTAATTAGGTTATGCTATACATGTACATATATCATCATGTAAAAATTAACAGTGGATTTTATAGAAACTTTCTTAGAAGCATCAGACAACTCTTTATCCCTCTGTCTTTGACAGGGAAAATTAAATGTATAATTATCTAAAAAACACAACAAGAACCGGTTGAACCGGGTGATGCTCCATGACACAGAAAAGTATACCTCTTGAAGTGTAAGAGTAATGTCCCTGACAAGCAGTTACTGATCTTGTCTTGTGCACTGCACATCTACTCAATGAGATCTATCTACCTACAAAGTTTCATGCTGATATCTCTTGTTGTTTCAAAGTTATGTCCTGGACAAGAATAGTGAACAGACGGTCAAAGCAGCGACCCTTCAGGGAGCATAAAAATGTCAAAAATAATTTCAAGGATCTCTAAAAACGTCTCTTTATACAATAATTATTTAGAAATAATCTTAACCAACAAAGTAAGTTGATATAAGAAAGATATTCTATTTCTTTCAAAAGATAGATCTTTTAAATATAATGTCAGTTTAAATGTATGAATTTCATAATTATGAAAGTTATATTCCTCATAATTTATAATATGAAATGTTATAATCTGAAACGTTTTGTTCCTAAAATCTGAAATGTTTTATTCTGAAATGATTTATTCCTCATATATGGAATGTTTTATTCCTCATAATTATATTGAATGTTTTATTCTTAAATGATTTATTCCACATATATGAAATGATTTATTCCTCATAAATATTATATGAAATGATTTATTATATCTATT